CATTTTATGGATCTGTCATATAACCTAACCCACATTTTCTTCAGAGAGAGAGATAGCCACTATACTTTAATTTACACTGACATGTCTTGTCTTTGAAACACTTTAGAGGAAACAACAGAAACTTTAGGAGGAGGAACTCAGGCATCCCTCCAGCTACTATTTCAAGCTAAAACGAGGAGATGGCCGTGAAATAAGCCAACGTTGTACACAGGGAAACTGTGCTGACAGGGCTACGTTCACAAGACAAACGTTGCAAAAATAATGCGGACGTGATTCCTTATTGTACATGTCAGAGAGGTATATTCTTATCTGAACGTTCCACAACGTTGTTCCCTGCTGAATGCTGCCCTGGTATTCTGTGCAGCAGGCTGGCGGGAGCCGTTGTTCTCTACGTCTGTTTGTTAAGAAGGATTTAACATTGAGGCCTCGGCCGACCGGCCCTCCTCTGACACGCAGGTCACAATTTCATGACAATAAGTAAGCAGCCAGCCAGCCTGGCCAGCTAGTTCTTGACAACACCAGCAGATTATAGAAAAAAACATGGGATTCATCCCATTCCAAAGCCATTCTGGCCTGACTGAATATAGACAGATCCCCACTCACTGTTACTAATAACACATATGGGGTTAGAGTGAGTAGGAGTAGGAGGAGAGAGGGGAGAAATACCTATCAAACAAACAGCAAGAGGCTGACGAAGAACAGAAAGCTAAGTTGCTATTTCTTCTGTGGCCAATTTGCATTCCTTTTCTCGATCCAGTTTTTGTACAAAATAAGAAAATAGCCCCTGCGTAAATGACGGGAAACCTCTAAACCTTAATTTACATAAACAGATATCACATCTGCTTTACTCTGTCAGGATCACATCTGCCTCTCTCTCCCTCCCCCTCTCTCCCCCCTCTCTAGTCTTTTCCTCTAGCGCTGAAGGGGAGCAAACAGGCATCTGGTTTGCATCAAGCGTTCCTAACGACCTTATGTCTCTCATAGTCCACCACAGCCAAGAGAACAGGAGCAATACTCTCTCTGGAGTCAGTCAGAGACAAACACACAAACAAAGAGGTGCACAGACCAAACCTACTATTAATGTAAGTCACAAACGTAACCAACAAAAACACACATAGAAACAACACTAAAACTAGAATTTCAACAACAACCTGGGAAGTGGATGTGGCCATGAGAGGAGAGTGAATGACAGCCAGTCCATCCTCAGAGGGAGGGAGGGAGGGAGGGAGGGAGGGAGGGAGGGAGGGAGGGAAGGAAGGAAGGAAGGAAGGAAGGAGGGAAAAAGGAGTGAGGGAGGGGTGTAGCAGTGCCGTAGGGCAGAAAAAGAAAGGGAGAGAGCTGCAGCTAGCAAGCTATCACAGGAGAGGAAACGTTTGAATTGTCTCAAGACTACACCCAGCAGGCAGGCAAGCAGCCGACACAATAAGAGCCAGGGAGGGGGCAACCTGTTTCCACTGACTGACCTGGAAGGAGTGTGGTACTTTTACACACAGTTTCCACAGTCCTTACAGCAACCCATTAGAAAGCATTCTTCCCTGACAAAGGAGGGTCAAAAGACGGCCTGTCTCCTTCTTTCTGCAGCAAGTAACCTACATGTTGAATGGCGACCCCTTATAACATTCCACTCAATGTGGAAAGTGCCTCTTCCACTTATCTTCTCATTTGAAATACAGACTGTCGAATTAAACTAATAAGCATTTTCACCCAAACAAATCAACATTGTTTTCAGTGTGTGTAATTTCTCTCCATATCAAAATAAGAGGAGCAGTCCCGGTCAGATTAGCAGCTAATAGGTCAATGCACCGCCAATTAACTCCATGGCTCTTAATTCCAGCCTGTTAACTGGCTGTTGTGTGAGGTGGGAGGTTGCTAGCTTGCGTGTGGTTGGCCGGCAAGAGAGAGAGAGATCAGAGAGAGAGAGAGAGAAAGACCAGAGAGCAAGGGAGAAAGAGAGAGAGAGAGCGAGAGAGAGAGAGAGAGAGAGAGAGAGAGAGAGAGAGAGAGAGAGAGAGAGACAGAAACACAGTAGCCTGGCTCAGACTCAGGTTTATGTGTCCCTCCCTTTCCCGTTTGGCGGAGGGGGCCCAGATGAGCTGACCTAGCAGGCAGAGATCTTCCACAGGCATAGACAGGACCACACTACACAGCAGAGACCTCTCAGAAGAAGCTCCCAAATCACACACTCCACTCACACTGCACTGACCACTAGGGCAAGGACGATACCAGTATCGCGATACTCGTTACTATCGTGGCAAGGTAACAAAACACGAAGCGGATTGAACTTCTTTAGGAAACAGCCCTAATGTTAGAAACAAACCTCATTATGTTGTCATTCAGAGTCAAATTTATTTTCCAAGCTATACTACACAATATTTTACATACAGCAGATTTTTAAAGGAACAAATAGTTACTGGTAGCGTCACAGCCCTACCGACCACCTGCACACACCTCCCCTGACACCAGTGTGTGTGTGTGTGAGATCTCTCCAAGAGCCTGATGACACAAGACACATATATACGGAACAGGGCTGCGGGCAGCTGTGCAAAAATTTAGGAAATCTAAACTTCCGGAGGACCTATCATCCTTTCACTCCCTCCTCTCTACCTTCTCTTCCTCTGTATCCGCTGCTAAAGCCACTTTCTACCATCCTGTGACTAGTGAGGTCTGGCCGCCCGACAACCTGCCCGATCGACCCCAACCCCTCCTCCCTTCTCCAGACCATCTCTGGAGACCTTCTCCCATTCCTCACTTCCCTCATCAACTCATCCCTGACCACTTGCTCCGTCCCCTCTATAGACCTGTATCCCTTCTTTCTTCTCTTTCCAAAACACTTGAGTGTGCTGTCTCTGATCAACTTTCTCGTTATTTCTCTCAGAACGATCTTCTTGACCCTAACAAGTCAGGTTTCAAGATGGATCACTCAACCGAGACTGCTCTTCTCTGTGTCACGGAGGCTCTCCGCACTGCCAAAGCTGACTCTCTCCTTGGTTCTTATCCTCCTAGATCTATACGCTGCCTTCTACACTGTGAACCATCAGATCCTCCTCTCCACCCTGTCAGGGCTGGGCATCTCAAGCTCTGCACAGTCTTGGATTGCATCCTACCTAGCAGGCTGCTCCTACCAGGTGACGTGGAGGATCTGTGTCTGCACCACATACTCTCACTACTGGTGTCCCCCAGGGCTTGGTTCTAGGCCCTCTCCTCTTCTCTCTATACACCAAGTCACTCGGCTCCGTCATATCCTCACATGGCCTCTCCTATCATTGCTATGCGGATACCTGCCAGGCACTCAACTACTTTTCTCCTTCCCCCCTTCTGACACCCAGGTGGCGACACGCATCTCTGCATGCCTGGCAGGTATCTCAACTTGGAGGTTGGCCCACCACCTCAAGCTCAACTTCGACAAGACGGATCTGCTCTTCCTCCCAGAGACCTCTCCATCACGGTTGACAACTCCACAGTGTTGCCCTCCCAGAGTGCAAAGAACCTTAGAGTGACCCTGGACAACACCCTGTCATTCTCTGCAAACATCAAAACAGTGACCTGCTCCTGCAGGTTCATGCTCTACAACATCCGCAGAGCACAACCCTACCTAACACAGGAGGCGGCGCAGATCCTAATCCAGGCACTTGTCCTCTCCCGTCTGGACTACTGCAACTCGCTGTTGGATAGGCTCCCCGCTTGTGCCATCAAACCCCTACAACTTATCCAGAACGCTGCAGCCCGCCTGGTTTTCAACCTTCCCATGTTCTCTCATGTCACCCCGCTCCTCAGCACACTCCACTGGCTTCCAGTCTAAGCTCGCATACACTACAAGACCATGGTGCTTACCTACAGAACAGCAAGAGGAACTGCCCCTCCCTACCTTCAGGCTATGCTCAAACCCTACACCCCACCCCGAGCACTCCGTTCTGCCACCTCAGGTCTCTTGGCCCTCCCACCCCTACAGGAGGGCAGCTCCCAGTCAGCCCAGTCCAAGCTCTTCTCTGTCCTGGCACCCCGCCCCCCCCTTCTAGCTTTGACTCTACTGATAGCTACGTTATTGTATGTACTTAAATGTACTTTCTATGCCTGTGATATGTGGTTGTCCCACTTAGCTATCTTAAGATGAATGCACTAACTGTAAGTCGCTCTGGTTAAGAGCGTCTGATAAATGACAAAAATGTAAAATGTAAATGTAAATATACTGCAGAGATACAGCCCCCACACACATGTGCACGTGTACACACACACACACACACACACACATACACAGGTGTTTGTGGGCCCATTCCAGCAGTGTTTGTTGGTGCTAAGAGATTAATGTAAGAGGGCATGGTTTTGGAGGTGGTCAGTCCCTCCAGCCACAGGTCTCTATGCTCTCGTAATTAAAGCTGCAGTCAGTAGCTCATTTAACACCCAGATTAATGTCTTGTGATCCATAGGCCTCCAGGGGATTCTTCCTTCCAGGCTAGGCAGAGGAGCTTTTCCTCCCTCTTTCTCTGTCTCGCTTCACCCCCTCCTTCTCTCCTTCCCACTCTTCACATCCATCCACAAGCAGCCAAGAGAGATGGACCAGTGGTGGTGCTGCTCAGCTCCACAAAGTCTCTCTTACTAATGAATGAACATTTCCTGAGCAGAGTGAGGGGAAAGGAGCACATGTGCGCCTAAATTGAACAATTTTGGCGCACACAAAGACATTTACTTTTTCTAGGCACACTAGTGCTCCTAAATTAAAATTAAAATATTTTGGCGCATATGCAAGTAAAATGGTCGCACTGTAGAGCCCTGTGGCCGCGTCCCTCCCAGTCCCCATCCTCATCTGCATTGCACTGCGCCAGGCCCGCAGCCCCCCAGCCAGCCATCAGAGAACAGGGAGGGAAGGGGAGGGGGTCACATTCAGGAGATTAGCCCTGGAAAATGGATCCCAAAGCACAAAAGGCATCAACCCCCCCGATTCTCTCTCTCTATCTGAAAAGTCAACTACAAGCCAGTCGAGTAGATTTATCCGTTTACTCATCTCAGAAGCCTTTCACGGCTGACACAGAGAACAGGGTCAAACCGAAGCGCTCAGAATCTTTAGCCTGGGTTAATAGGGAATATTGCTCACCAATGATCTTAGATCCACATCAACAGCCCTGCCGCTACAGTTCTGCTGCAACCACAACCAACCTTAATCCAAACAACCTCAAGCAAGCTTAGCGTAATTGAGAGCGGCTACAGCTTGGTTGTGTTCAAATTGTATGCAGAACATCTGGGTGGGCAAACATACATGTTTTTCCTCAGGTGTGGCCAGATAACAATAGAAAGCCTTTCGGATATGCGTTGAGATAAGCTTGAACTACTCCATCTCACTTAATCATGTAATGTTTATCAATTATATCCAGAGGGAGGAAAACTGACACTATGAAGGCAGTTGCACTTGTCAAGTGAAGTCTTAGACCGTTTTCACATTCATGATAGCAAAGGGAAATACTGTTGTGTCGCACACGATACTCAGCGTAAACAGAATTGTCTCGTTGAGCTCAACACTCCTACAGTATAAATGGTAAAAGCAGAGCAATGTTTTTGAAACAGCTGAAATTGTTTTACCTGAAATTGCATTAACAGCCTGTTACATTCTGAAATTGTCGCAGTAGCTGCCGATACTAGCTCAAAATGTTGAGATATGTAAGTCAACATTTTGAGATAGTAGATCATACAAATATAATATGTTTTTTTCATTTGTAACATTGTGCTGTGATTTCAGAGATGGCACCAAAGGTCCCAGAGTTTTTCCTGATTTAACCTAACAAGGTAAAACTCTGGGTATGACAGTAATAAATAATTTGTAAAAAACGGTTATATATGGGCTATGATGTGACCAGATCTTTCTAATCAGGTCATATGGTTAAAAAAATATATTATCCTGGAAAAACCCCTGGCCCTAGGGAGGATGAAAACATTAAAATCCTAACAAACAAATCATGAGGCGAATCAGTCTAAACAATAGTACTTTGTCCCTCGTGTGCTTAGGCAAATGCCAGCTCACCACACGTTTGTCGGCGGCCCTGCTGTGCGGATCTCTGTGACGTGGATAGATGGAAATCGCCACACAATGCCAAAATGAAGAAACATAACCTATATGTATGATCTATATGCATGTTATTTTTGGGTGGCGGGAATGGGCTTTTATATAAAACAGCTCAACATCTCAACTCCCTGGTGAATTATATCCAAGTTTTCAGTCGCAATTTGCTTTTACCACATGTAGGCTAATGATTTGCATGATATTGATAAATATGAAGCATGGGTTGTTGTAATGTTGTATGGTAGACCCACTGCAATTTTATATTCATATTAGATGGGTAATCGTTCATTTTTGATAGGCTAACGTTACTTGATGAAGACACATTGTTAGCTTTAGCTAGCAGTAACTCTGTGCTTTTGTCTTTTTACATTTAAGTCATTTAGCAGACGCTCTTATCCAGAGCGACTTACAAATTGGTGCATTCAACTTAGGATAGCCAATGGGACAACCACTCCCCTTTTTTTTTCCATGGGGGGGGGGGGGGGGGGGGGGGGGGGTAGAAGGATTACTGTTATACTATTCCAGGTATTCCTTAAAGAGGTAGGGTTTCAAGTGTCTCCGGAAGGTGGTCAGTGACTCCGCTGTCCTGGCGTCGTGGGGGAGCTTGTTCCACCATTGGGGTGCCAGAGCAGCGAATAGCTTTGACTGGGCTGAGCGGGAACTGTGCTTCCGTAGAGGTAGGGGGGCTAGCAGGCCAGAGGTGGATGAACGTAGTGCACTCATTTGGGTGTAGGGTCTGATCAGAGCCTGAAGGTAAGAAGGTGCCGTTCCCCTCACAGCTCCGTAGGCAAGCACCATGGTTTAGTAGTAGATGCAAGCTTCAACTGGAAGCCAGTGGAGTGTGCGGAGGAGCGGGGTGACATGAGAGATCTTGGGAAGGTTGAACATCAGTCTAGAAGCTAAAATGTAATGTACAGATGAGAAACTAAACCCTGTAATTGTCTGGATATGCTTGTGAATTGTTGCATTATCCAAGAGTGTATTATTGTTTTGTTGCAATAATTAAGAGTGTAATATAATATAATATAATATAATATAATAATATAATATGCCATTTAGCAGACTCTTTGGACTTACAGTCACGCATGAAGAGTTGCTTGCTTAACATTAGCTAGTAGGTAGCTAGCTAGTTGAATAGTTTGCAATGCTTAGCCTCCTGGCTAGTGGCTACTATGACATTTGCGGTACTTTTGAAATGTGAAGCAAGAACGTCAACCGAAAGCTCTCTCAGCTTGTTACATTCACGTCGTATGTATGTGTGTGTGTGTGTGTGTATGTGTGTGTGTGCATGTCAAGCCCATTTCAGTTTTTCCCACTCAAATCAAAACACTTCACCGGTGATTGTCATTTTTCATAAGGAGAAAAAGACAGTAAAAAAGAACACACAGTAAACTAGGTCCGCAGCATATAAATTGTTTGAAATCATACGTCCTTGAGCAACTGGCACAATCAAGATGTGCTCCTTGAGATATTTTTGAGTCGGTAGGAAAGAGGCTGACAAAAACAACAATATCTGCATATAATGTTTTTGTCTTTCCCACAGATCTAAGAGATGGATGTATTTTCACCAGATGCCTCATTCAATCTGAGGGGCAGCCATCTTCACAGGAGTCAGGGCAAGGAAGAGAAACAAAGACCTGACCTGCAGACAAAGTGAAAACTTTGGCTTGCTCTGCCCCTCCAGGGTACTGAAATATGCCCTTGGGAGCTTGGCGCTGCACTGAGAGGTGCACATCAGAGCTGTTCTGAATAGTAAAGAATGGGCAGGAAATGTCCAAAGACTTTGGCAGAGCCAACAAAAACTAACAAGAGCAGAGCTATGCCAGCAGATTGTTAGTGCCACACACATCCATACTAAAATAAAGCCTTCGAGAGCGAAGCTAAATTAAGCCCATCTCCTTCCCCTCAGTCCCTACAAACATCCAAAACAACGTGGTTGTCCGTCCGTTAAACAGCAGAGGGACCAATGAAAGACAAGTGCACTTTCCTCCCTCCCTCCCTCCTCTCTAGAGATCTGACCCAACATGCAGTAATAACTGAATGCGTGTGCTGCTCAGTTGTGGCGCCCCAGGGAGCACAATGGAGATGACTGGGCTGATAAGAGATCCTGCTCTGCACAACAGACAACTCTCTTCCTTTCCCTTTAAACCTCCACACAGAAAGCTCATATTAGGCTGTTTTACATGAGTAAAATGTGTAGTAAGATCTATCTCCCTTCAACATCCGATTTGCACATTTTATGTTTACAATATCCTTACATTAGCCTTGGATGTGGTGTGGCCAAAGCCACATTCCTGCTTCGTGTGTGTACAGCTATTAGCATACCGTAAATACCATAGTATATAGACAAACAAAATAAGGATAGCAATTCAAACTATACAGGAGCTTCTCATCTAAACCATATTGCACATAATGTTGCACACTTGATTATTGCAAAGATTCACAATTGGGTGGACACTTTAAAAGCCTTTAGTTTTCAATTTGGCTAACAGAACAACATGCTGTTTTCCGGTATTAAGGTAATGAAGGTACTTCTTGCAGGGACATGGGGTGTCAGAGAGCCATTGTATTTACACTGTACCACAAATCAAAATCAAATCAAATGTATTGGTCACATACACGTGTTTAGCAGATGTTATTGCTAAGTCGCTTTGGATAAAAGCGTCTGCTAAATGGCATATTATATTATTATATTATATTATATATTGCGGGTGTAGCGAAATGCTTGGGATGTGTCCCACACACTACCTACAGCGGTCGCTTGGGAAAGAGATTTAAATCTAGGTCTTTTTACACTACAAAAAGTTTTCTGGGCTTCATCTGCTTGGGAAACTTTTTCAATTTCATCAGAAAGACGGGGAAACACACTGACTGGATGGGAGCCATGATTGCAAAGTGGAGCCTGCAGCCTGCAGCCTGCAGCCTTGGAGTCACCTGCAGCTGTGTGGAGGCTGGAGCGGAGGGAGGGAACAGGTAGGGAGGGCTGGTAATGCCCAGGGGAGAGAGAGGGAGGGAAAGACGGACAAAAAGACAACGCGACAGAGAGAGAGAGACTGCCATACGAGGCAGGCCCACTGGGGCCTGGAAGAGCAGGAGGGAGGGATGGAGGAGAGAAAGAGGGAGGGAGAGGGGGCACACGAGTGGCAGGCCCAGGAACCAGGGAGAAATTCACCACCAAACAATTACCCTCCCAGACAGACAGACCTCTGGTCCTAATTTCTATGCAAAAAAGATCAGTCGTTCTTTGAGGGCGGGAAAAAACCCTGCTGGCATTTATCTGTGGAGGATGCCCCTGGATAGGAGAGAGACTCCACCACCGGCTTCTGGGGGCGAGCGGGGGGGTTGTGTGGGGGGGGGGGGGGGGGGGGGGGGGGGGGGGATTTGCATGAGAATAAAAACACTATGCAAGCCGTTTAATTTAGCAATCGCTGCCGTTCGCTTGCTTGGAATATTTTCTGTGCATGGCCAGAGGAAGATTAGAATTGGTTTTCTCAAATGTTCTGATAAAGAACAGGGTAATTTGTCCCTCTCCGACACGGGGAGAATAGTGCAGGGCCTAGCTAGCAGTCTGTTCCCCTAACCCCACCACCTACCCCCCACTCCCCTACCCCACTGCCCTCTCTCTCTGTGCTCCTTGAATGGTGATTAAGTGTCAGCCGTTAAAAGATATCTCTCTCCCTCTCTCGAAGGGATTACTGGCCCACTGGTTTACACAGAAATGGCACTTGCTCAAAATTAAAAGACTTTCACAGGCCGTTAATCTAATGAGTGTGGAAGGGGAAAAGGAGCCGCCGCCATTTCTGCTGCCGACATGAAAGAATATAACAGATTTTCATGTTTACCACCAACATTGCAATAAGGGGGGGTAAAAAAATGACAAACAAAAAAGTGCTTAACATTTCCAGGGATTACCCCAATTTGACTTGGACGGTTTGACTGAGCGAAAGGTCAAACCCATCAGCCACTTGCACAGAGGGAAAAGGGCAAGGTGTTAAGCAGCTGACAATGGCTGGTGGTGGCATTCCAGATGACTGCCGATGGATCGGCCAGCCCGATCACTGCTACTAAAACACACACGTTGTCACCATTTTCTGTGTGTTGCTTCACACCTTCACGCCCAGGAGAGGCTCCAATGCATCATACCACCACTGTCCACACACACACACACAGTCCATTTAATCCTCCAGCCCTGCAGGTTATTACCGGGGCCCACCAGGGCTGGATTGGCTGCCATCACGCCTTTTAGCTTCCACTTCCAACCCACTTCAGGCACAACGTGTCATAATGAAGGAGGGCCACGGGCCGGCTATGTGTGTGTGTAGGTGTGTGTGTCACGGCTCAGACTTAGGAGTTCAATCTCCCCGCCAGAGAGCATGAATAAAGATGGTCTCCGTCCATCCTCCACTGCTGCTGCAGAAAAAAATAAATGATGCGAGGATGGAGGGAGGGAAAAAAGAGAAGACAGCGCACCAGGCCAGACCTCCATGATGTGTTAGGCTTGTTTCTGCATCGTTGCTCCTGCATACTCAATTTTTCACAGAAGTCATGAGGAGGAGGAGGAGCTCCATTTCTCTTCCCCTTTTTTCTATCCTCTTTTTTAAATGGGAAGATGCGATAAGCTTTCTTATATAGCCTCGGCGACACGAAGTGCAGGGCGCTGCTTTATCGTGTGCTGGAGGGCGGAAGGTGCTTAGATGCCATGATAAGGCTCACAGTGCGCGCACACACACACAGAAAAAAATGGTGTTTGCTCCAAACAGTGGGAGTTGACCTGCAGGTGAAGGCTGTTCTCAGCCAGGCTGGCTGCTTGTCATTTATGGGATGAGGGGGAAACTAAGGGAGCTAACTGGTTAACGCTATCACCTTCTAAGCTCTCACTTACAGTGAATTGATCTCCCCAGAGCTCACAGCGTCAGTCAGCCTGACAATCAACCCCTGTCCTGAACCTTGTAATATTTTACATTATACAACCAGCACATTAACTATCATCATTATCACCACAGGCTTAGGTATTGCTCTGAGGTCTGCAGCACTCAAGAGGCTCCTTTTCACAGTCTTTTACAATAATCACCCATTTAACCAGCTCTGTAACCTTAGATGAATGCGTAAAAAGGTTAATTGAAAGAAACATGAATCCCTCATTTATCTCTTGTGAGCAGCAAAGGCAATCTGAAACATGGTCTGAGAGGGCCTTTGCTGGGACTGTATTCTTCAGTCTTATATTTATCATTGTTTCATTCACCTCTCACTTTCCCCCCTGCTGCTCCCCTTATAGGGCATTCCATCGGGGATATACTACTCCCCTCCACAGACATTTTACCCTGCCCCCACCCCCCAATGGACATTTATAATTGTTACAGTTGTAAATATGTATATATTATTAATATTATTTGTATTATTGTTTCATTCACTTCTCTTTTTGACCTGCACTGTTGGAGCTCAGAGCTTAAGAATATCACTGTATCCTGCAATTACATCTGTGACCCTGTGTATGTGACTAATAAACTCTAAAAATATATACAATGTATACAAAGTATTTGATCCCCTGCTGATTTTGTACGTTTGCCCACTGACAAAGAAATGATCAGTCTATAATTTTAATGGTAGGTTTATTTGAACAGTGAGAGCCAGAAAAACGCATGTCAAAAATAAATTGATTTGCATTTTAATGAGGGAAATAAGTATTTGACCCCCTCTCAATCAGAAAGATTTCTGGCTCCCAGGTGTCTTTTATACAGGTAACGAGCTGAGATTAGGAGCACACTCTTAAAGGGAGTGCTCCTAATCTCAGTTTGTTACCTGTATAAAAGACACCTGTCCACAGAAGCAATCAATCAATCAGATTCCAAACTCTCCACCATGGCCAAGACCAAAGAGCTCTCCAAGGATGTCAGGGACAAGATTGTAGACCTACACAAGGCTGGAATGGGCTACAAGACCATCGCCAAGCAGCTTGGTGAGAAGGTGACAACAGTTGGTGCGATTATTCGCAAATGGAAGAAACACAAAGGAACTGTCAATCTCCCTCGGCCTGGGGCTCCATGCAAGATCTCACCTCGTGGAGTTGCAATGATCATGAGAACGGTGAGGAATCAGCCTAGAACTACACAGGAGGATCTTGTCAATGATCTCAAGGCAGCTGGGACCATAGTCACCAAGAAAACAATTGGTAACACACTACGCCGTGAAGGACTGAAATCCTGCAGCGCCCGCAAGGTCCCCCTGCTCAAGAAAGCACATATACATGCCCGTCTGAAGTTTGCCAATGAACATCTGAATGATTCAGAGGAGAACTGGGTGAAAGTGTTGTGGTCAGATGAGACCAAAATGGAGCTCTTTGGCATCAACTCAACTCGCCGTGTTTGGAGGAGGAGGAATGCTGCCTATGACCCCAAGAACACCATCCCACCGTCAAACATGGAGGTGGAAACGTTATGCTTTGGGGGTGTTTTTCTGCTAAGGGGACAGGACAACTTCACCGCATCAAAGGGACGATGGACGGGGCCATGTACCGTCAAATCTTGGGTGAGAACCTCCTTCCCTCAGCCAGGGCATTGAAAATGGGTCAGCCAACGGTACCCCCCCTGCAACTCTGCAACGGTACCCCCCTGTATATATAGCCTCCCTACTGTCACTTTATTTTACTGTATATATAGCCTCCCTACTGTCACTTTATTTTACTTCTGCTCTTTTTTTCTCAACACTTTTTTGTTGTTGTTGTTTTATTCTTACTTTTTTTGTTTAAAATAAATGCACTGTTGGTTAAGGGCTGTAAGTAAGCATTTCACTGCAATGTCTGCACCTGTTGTATTCGGCGCATGTGACCAATAAAATTTGATTTGATTTGATTTGAGCCTCGAAACCTTAATGACTTGGAGAAGATCTGCAAAGAGGAGTTGGACAAAATCCTTCCTGAGATGTGTGCAAACCTGGTGGCCAACTACAAGAAACGTCTGACCTCTGTGATTGCCAACAAGGGTTTTGCCACCAAGTACTAAGTCATGTTTTGCAGAGGGGTCAAATACTTATTTCCCTCATTAAAATGCAAATCAATTTATAACATTTTTTACATGCGTTTTTCTGGATTTTTTTGTTGTTATTCTGTCTCTCACTGTTCAAATAAACCTACCATTAAAATTATAGACTGATCATGTCTTTGTCAGTGGGCAAACGTACAAAATCAGCAGGGGATCAAATACTTTTTCCCCTCACTGTATAATACAATTAAAAATATATATATAAGCCAAAGCCATCACACAGGCTTAGTACTGCTGTTTGAAGTTATTGGACCATGGCAGGTATTCTATTCCGGTTAGCGTGTGTGTGTGTGTGTGTGTGTGTATGAGCGCCCACTCCCTCTATCCTCAGTCTCACCTGTAAGTTCGTGATGGATCAGCTCGGCGAAGTTAGGGTCGTCCCCCCACCAGAAGAGCCAGAGCTCCCTACGTCCGGGCCTCTGGCTCCGCCGCCACACGCTCAGCACGTCCGCCTTGAGGCAGCGGCTGAAGCTGCACAGGATGGGGTCCTCCTCGGTCACCGGGAAGAGGATGGGCGCAGAGGTGGGGCCCTGCCACACGTACCGCTTCCATTTGATCCCAGTCAGGTCAGCCTGGGAGGGAGGGAGGGAGGGAGTCAGCCACTGCAACAGCCACAGGAGCCAGGTAACTGTGGGTAAATATTTGAACACTAGAAAGGCCAAGGGGATCATTTTGAAATTGCCCCCCTCTGTCCTTTTCCTAAATAAGTATATTTAACACACGTACTGCATGTTGTTAGAATTTCGATATCACAAACAGAATGTGTTATAAGCAGTTTTAAGAGGAAAAGTGACTTTTTCAAATCCTCCTACATTGTCACATGCAGGTAAGACGCTTCTATATAGTATCAGAAAGAGCAGATTCTGAGGTTTTCCAAACCATCTATCAAAATTGAAGAGATGAGCTCTATTTCAAAATATCACTTTTTCCAAGCATTAGACAGGTGAGCACGTGGCAACAGATAGCCTACGGTACTGGCCCACGGGGGGGCCAGTATGAAAAATTAAATAATGTATGCACTCACTAACTGTAAGTTGCTCTGGATAAGAGCGCCTGCTAAATGACAAAAAATGTTTTTTTTAATGTAAAAAATGGTAACATAAACTAATGAAAATGCTAGCGTTTAAAAATATTTTTTCATATTCTAATGTTACCCAAGACCTTCATAAACACCAAAGTATTATTTTTCCAATAAACACCAAAGTATTAATTTTCAAATAGCATACATGAAATGTAAACGGAGTATACAAAACATTAAGAACACTTGCTCTTTCCATGACATAGACTGACCAGGTGAAAGCTATGATCCCTTATTGATGTCACTTGTTAAATCCACTTCAATCAGTGTAGATTGAGACAATTAAGACATGGATTGTGTATGTGTGCCATTCAGAGGTTGAATGGGCAAGACAAGAGATTTAAGTGCCTTTGAACAGGGTATGGTAGAAGGTGCCAGGCGCACCGGTTTGTGTCAAGAACTGCAACGCTGCTGATTTTTTCAAGCTCAACAGTTTCCCGTGTGTATCAAGAATGGCTCAACACCCAAGGGACATCCAGCCAACTTGACACAACTGTGGGAAGCATTAGAGTCAACATTGGCCAGCATCCATGTGGAACGCTTTCGACACCCTGTAGAGTCCATGCCCCGACGAATTGAGGCTGTTCTGAGGGCAAAAGAGGGGGGTGCAACTCAATTTTAGGAAGGTGTTCCTAATGTTTGGTATACTCTGTGTATTTATTAGACTGTTAGAATGTTAAGTCAAAATTACTCCCCATTGGCCTGAAGGGGGGTCCAAAGAGGACAGGCTTTTCTAGTGTTACATTAAACGTTTAAAGAGCAAGCATTAATTATCCTTTATGGAGCCTCCACCTCATCAGGAGAAACACATATGACAAGGAGACACACAGGCAGGCAGCCACAGGAAGAGAAAAACAAAGAGAGGAAAGGGAGAGGGGAAAACAGAGAGATCGAGGAAGAAGAGAACAAGATAGAGGGGGGAGAGAGAGGAGAGATATTGGAAGGAGAGAGATAAAGGAAGATGTAGAGTGGAGGATAGATTAGATAGATAGATAGATAGATAGATAGATAGATAGATAGATAGATAGATAGATAGATAGATAGATAGATAGATAGATAGATAGATAGATAGATAGATAGATAGATAGATAGATAGATAGATAGATAGATAGATAGATAGATAGATAGATAGATAGATAGATAGATAGATAGATAGATAGATAGATAGATAGATAGATAGATAGATAGATAGATAGATAGATAGATAGATAGATAGATAGATAGATAGGAGACCTAGAGGAAAGGCTTCAATATAAACAGAAAGAAACATTTCTAAAGAGCAAAGCAGCAAAAAATAGCATTGCCTTGTTTTTGTTCCAATTGTGTGCACTTTAGCTTCAGGTGCTTTCAATCTCAACATGAACAACATGAACAACATGTTCAATGCTCTGAGAAAAAAACCTCCCTAATGCTTGTAAATGGGCTCTGACCACCTTAATCCTTTTTAATGATGAGTGCTTTGGGGAGTGTGCTCTGTATAAACCAATGCTGTCCGGCTTTTACAGAGAGGGGGAACACAACACAGAGAAATTCATAGGTTGTAAATCACTGGCAGCAGCACAGGGTACTACAGGGTTATGAAGTGTTAAGGCAGGAACATTACGCTCCACTGCTACAGCTGCCTGCTTACCCCTGGCGGCTGGCTGAGGCTCATCAGACAGCAGGCCCTACGTACGTACAACCAGTCAGCGCTTCCTGGGTCCATGTCCTACACTGAGGCTATACACTGTCTCTCACACACACACCACCCACCTCCGAATACATCATGCCTTCCAGTGTCTTAGGCTTACACTCAGTGCCCATGTCATACACTGAACGACTGCAAAGACCAACACTATCATCACAACCTATGTTGCTATATTGCCTTACAGTACTTCTCTTGATGGAGCTGGCCCTCCTATCTATCCTGGCAGCACAACTGATTTGCGTGAACTGGGCCTTCTACAGATTCTTGAGGCGGGCTATTTTCCGCTGCCAGGCGATATGTTCAAGTTGACAAACTGTCACTTTGACTTTGTTAGAAATAGACAATTACAATGAAATTGGCAGGTACATTTCAATCAATTGAAACACTATGAGCGTGAGCGAATGATTAAGCATGGTTGTGGTAGCGGCGCAATAGTCTTTAGCCTAGCCGGGGATAAGCTGGGAGATTTGTGGTGGGGGGTGGTGTTGTCAAAACAGAGCGCTCTGTGGTGTCAACTGGACCCAAGCTGGACCACAACAACAAGTTAGTTATCCATTATAACATGGCAGCCAGGAAGGCCATAAGCTGGCCACAGTGGCCAGTCAGAACGCCACAGATATCAAAACGCTACAATGATCTGACTAGAATATGATGAGCAACTGTAACTACTATGAGCAATTGTAACTACTATGAGCAACTGTAACGACAAAAATATAGATTTATTTTTTAAGAGAGATTTATACCAAATATTGAAAGCGAAGCAGGCTGTTGAGTTTAGTGACACAATCTATCAAAATTTACAAGATATGACTATAAATAAAATAAAAAAGACTTTCCTCAACACTACTCTTTCCCACGTGTCCCTACATATGTTTTTCATTGTTAGGATTTATTATGATTGGCAGGAACACCAACTCCCAGCCTCTTCACACATTACCAATTCATCAAGCAACATCATAGCAAATATCTCACATCAGGAATCTTGCTCAAGGGCATTCAAATGCTGTTCCAGACAAGACACTATTCACAAGCCCATGTTCATTTATCATATAGGCCTATAGCCTACCGGTACATCAAGTATGAGCTGCTGTACTACTAAACTCATGACGCTGTCTTTCAAAGATAATTCGTAAAAATCCAAATAACTTCACAGATCTTCATTGTAAAGGGTTTAAACACTGTTTCCCATGCTTGTTCAATGAACCATAAACAATTAATGAACATGCACCTGTGGAACGGTCGTTAAGACACTAACAGCTTACAGATGGTAGGCAATTAAGGACACAGTTATGAAAACTTAGGACACTAAAGAGGCCTTTCTACTGACTCTGAAAAACACCAAAAGAAAGATGCCCAGGGTCCCTGCTCATCTGCGTGAACATGCCTTAGGCATGCTGCAAGGAGGCATGAGGACTGCAGATGTGGCCAGGGCAATAAATTGCAATGTCCGTACTGTGAGACGCCTAAAACAGCGCTACAGGGAGACAGGACGGACAGCTGATCGTCCTCGCAGTGGCAGACCACGTGTAACAACACCTGTACAGGATCGGTACATCCGAACATCACACCTGCGGGACAGGTACAGGATGGCAACAACAACTGCCCGAGTAACACCAGGAACGCACAATCCCTCCATCAGTGCTCAGACTGTTCGCAATAGGCTGAGAGAGGCTGGACTGAGGGCTTGTAGGCCTGTTGTAAGGCAGGTCCTCACCAGACATCACCAGCAACAACGTCGCCTATGGGCACAAACCCACCGTCGCTGGACCAGACAGGACTGGCAAAAAGTGCTCTTCACTGACGAGTCGCGGTTTTGTCTCACCAGATGTGATGGTCGGATTTGTGTTTATCGTCAAAGGAATGAGCGTTACACCGAGGCCTGTACTCGGGAGCGGGATCGATTTGGAGGTGGAGGGTTCGTCATGGTCTGGGGCAGTGTGTCACAGCATCATCGCACTGAGCTTGTTGTCATTGCAGGCAATCTCAACGCTGTGCGTTACAGGGAAGACATCCTCCTCCCTCATGTGGTACCCTTCCTGCAGGCTCATCCTGACATGACCTTCCAGCATGACAATGCCACCAGCCATACTGCTCGTTCTGTGTGTGATTTCCTGCAAGACAAGAATGTCAGTGTTCTGCCATGGCCAGCGAAGAGCCCGGATCACTATCCCATTGAGCACATCTGGGACCTGTTGGATCGGAGGGTGAGGGCTAGGGCCATTCCCCCCAGAAATGTCCGGGAACTTGCAGGTGCCTTGGTGGAAGAGTGGGGTAACATCTCACAGCAAGAACTGACAAATCTGGTGCAGTCCATGAGGAGGAGATGCACTGCAGTACTTAATGCAGCTGGTGGCCACACCAGATACTGACTGTTACTTTTGATTTTGACCCCCCCTTTGTTCAGGGTCACATTATTCCATTTCTGTTAGTCACATGTCTGTGGAACTTGTTCAGTTTATGTCTCAGTTGTTGAATCTTGTTATGTTCATACAAATATTTACACATGTTGTTTGCTGAAAATAAACACAGTTGACAGTGAGAGGACGTTTCTTTTTTTTGCTGAGTTTAGATTATTCCTTTCACCAGTATACTACTACTGTTGCTGCAGTTTCTGTTTCAGAAACTCCATCCACCAAGCCCTCTCTCTCTCACGATGGCAGACATAGTGGTGTGAGGAACTACCTGACACCTGCATCTTGCAGAGAAACATCTGTGCTGCACGGAAATAAAAGGGAGGGAAAAAATTGTTAAGTGTGAAACCAGATCCTCCGCAATTATAGAAACTGACTGTTTCTGAAACGGGTGGTGCTTGGACTGTAAGCCTGCATATATGCCCGTCTTACTTATTCTTCTTCAGAAATTTATTTTCATCACACAATCCATTCTTTTGATGACAGCTCTGAATCTTTTGATGACAGCTCTGAATTGTTTTTATGTTTTTCTCTGTCAATGTTAGGCTTTTCAAAGCCGTGGAATGGCCGCTCTCCCTGTCAAAGATCAAGTCCAAGCTTTCAATCCATAAACTAGGCTATTCTCTGCAAATACTATGTGGCAATCTTCCAGAGGCAGATTGCGCCGGCAAGAGTCTGTGTGCCTTCTGCGGTCAATCAATCAATCAATATTTTAAAAATATAGTCTACATCTGAGTTACAGTCTGAATGTGTCAGGGAAACCTGTGTGTTTCCTTCAAACTGACACGACTAGCTGAGTGTTAGTATAATGCTCAGGTATGTAGGCAACTGTGTATGCAAAATGTCCTCCCACCAGTAGTGCAAGAACCAGGGTCGAGTTAAGTTTCCCTTTTCAGATGCCGAGGCCATCAGGGCAAACCACCATAGCGGCTATAGGGGAATCTGAGGGCAAAGCCATTTGACGGACTCAGAAAGTTGATGTAAAATCTGTTTGGGATTTGCGGGTTACGACCCCTCCTTTCGTCAGATGCTCAGCTTCGCTCACCTTCCCTCTCACAGCTCAGAGCTCCAGGTCCCATTGTGGAACACACTAAGTGCAACAGCTGCCTTCCCTTCCCTTGCTTTCCCTTCCTGACATTCCCAATGCACATGCAAACCTTTGCACTATCCTGCCAACTTTTTGTAAACAGTTACATATCGCAATATTATTTTTGGACTATATTATATCAATATTTGACTCCAAGTATTGATTTGTAAAAAGTGTTTTGCTACTGTAGGTAGCATTAGCTAGCGCTAGTTGGCTGTACCTGATGCAAAACTCCAGTATTTTTCATCATAAAGCTTGTTCTCCATCATCTTTTTAAATAGTGAGCCAGCATGTTTTCAGCACTTTTGTATATATTGCCCTGAATGATCAAAACTTGTTTTCTCATGCTCTCTCTGCAGCAGACATATAGTGAGCAAGATGTTTGGAACATCAAATCGCATTACATATAGAATTGTGAGAATCGCAGCAAGTAAATATCTGTTGCTTTTTTCTGTTGTTGTGTTTTACATTTTAATATGTGATCTTGTCTTTATGTACTTTGACTGCTGCTAAATGAATTGCCTCAAGGACATTAAAGTTTTCTGAATCAGAGACATGCAACAGTTGAAGTTGCTCAAACCATCCCTGAGCAGACAGAGAGACACCCCACCACCACTACCAGCATCTCTCTGTCACGGTCTCACCGTCCCGCTGCAACACATGAAACTAGTCTGTTTGCATCTTGGAAAACTCGGGAGAAATGCAAATCCACTTGGTCTGCTCTCTCGTCTCGTCCAGCCTTTCCATCAGCACAACATTTGTCTGCTGCAGTGTTGGTTTTTGTTCTAATCCTGCCCGGCTCTAAATGAGTTTGATGAGTGTTACAATTACAATCTTCTACCCAAGGCTGAGAACTTATCTTGACAAGAGACATAGTCTAGCAGGGCCGTTGTGGCGTGACTATTGATTTATGAAAATAATGTGTTATAAACACATACCAACTAATCTACAAACAAACTTCACCACCCAGAAATGTGCAAGCAAAAGCCGCTTAACTTCAAAGACAAACGAGAATTGCAATAAGACTCCTGAGAACTATTAGTTGTGGGAAAAGTGCCAAGCTGTGTTCACTGCATTCTTTCAGCCTAAAACCACAATGTCTGTTCAGTGTGTGAGCTCATCTTAGTCTGCAGTAAAATATCTCCCTGCTATTGCAATACAGCAACCAGTCATTCACTACTAGCCTGTCCTGTTCATTCAGCTCTACTGTCAAATGCTTTGGAAAAGGACGATTCATGTCCATCAATATTTATCTATTTAACCTTCGTGAAGGGGAATTGTTCACATCTGTCATACAGTACATACTGTACAGGAAAAATACTATGCATTGCTGGAAACCTATAGTTGGTGCACTACTGAGAAGTTCTTAGATTGGTCTAGCTAGTAGTAGGAGTGCAAAGGACAAGAGGGGACGTCTGAGCTTTTTCCTTGAGTCTATTAGGTACTTTTGGTTGTGTATTTATGATAGCTATATAATTCAATTGTTTTACGACTGACTAGCAACAGTATCAATCAGCACTATGAGAACTAAAACACACAAATAAATACACAGATAAAAAACAAAACAGTGAATCGCATTAATATGTCATGAAAAATGTATTCAACTTGAAAACTTGCTAGACAGGAAGTAAGTACTAACGTACATTCTAAATGCACTAACAATATCCAAGAGTACATTATTGTTTATTAATATTTCAGCCTCTTTTAGGTGTGCGCGAGCCAAGAATGTAAACAACAAATGATTGGAAAGCAAACTTGACAACTTCAAAGGAAAAGTATGTAAGCCCGCAAATAGGCTACAATTTATCAGTATCTAAACTCTTCATTGGCTACTTAAAAGAAACAACGTAACAAGCAATGTATCTCCACAACTACACCCGCACACTGACAACAACAACACGATAGAACATGGAAGTTTAAATTAGAAGCCAATGTTCACGAGCATTTACTTTCCATGATCGAATGCCAAATGTTTCTGCCATTTAGCTAGTTTGGTATTTGTGCAAATGAACAACATTGCAAGCTAGTTAGCAGGCTAGCCAACTGCTTGGGTTTATTTTTAGGTCACATAAACATGCTGCACAATGCATGCGATAAAAAGCATAACGATACAGAACGTTACTTCAACCAAGTAAACAACTAGACAAAAAATGTAATCATGCATGGTATTCAACGTTGCTATAGATAGCTAGGTAGCTAAGATGTTTATCATCACCACACGTTACATTAGTTGCACTTTTATTGCCTAAGACTCTCAGGGCTGGAATGCATTGAATATGATCAAACTGAACATTTATGATTGCAAACAGCATGCATGCAGCTGCAAGTGACAGATAACACTATTCTTCTTTAATCTTGCACAACTTCACAGTATGCAAATACACATTGCCTTAGTGCATGATGTTTGAATTGCAGTGCTCCGCAGGCCCTGCCTGCTTTTCCATTGCTGTGGCTACTAACGTTAGCTCGCTCTTTTCAGCTAGTTAAAAATGGCTGCTTTTCCTTTAGTTTTAAATCTCTTACCAGACAGAATAGATTGGAGTGGCAATCCTCCAAGCTGGCCCCGTTTGGTACAAAACAAGAACTCATCCTTTCACAGCGAGATCGAACATTCCATCATTTCAGTTTCCGGGGAAATAAAGACCGATGTTCAAATGTATTTTGCAAGATGTATAATAAGGTAATGAACGAGAATTATTTTTAAACAATTGGCTGGAGAATGTTATTCAATAACACTTCGAATGCTATTGTCCGCCCCAAAATAAAAGCAGTTAAAATATCGTCTCCACAACCTCTCTATCGACCTCTTGAATACACATTAAGTAAAACATTTAAACGGACCGAAAAATGCTCTTAAAACAAAAAGAAAAGGAGAGCAAAGAAGCAACTCTCCCCCTCCCCCTTAGCTTAAAACGGTTTTTGCTAAAAACGTCACTCTACTCCATCACCATCAAAATCGATCTAAAAACGAATAACATCCTTAAAAACCAATCAGAAATTGGCATATGCCTATCTCTACGGTAATTTTAACCATAATTTCGGTCTCTGATCCTTCTAGTTCCATTTGAATTCATGGATTCCTTTCTTTAATGGCGGCCACAGGGAGAACTCTGCCTCCAAAAGCCTATTGGCTCATTGTGGTCATGAGGGGTGTAATAACACTGTAACTGATGGGTATTGCCGCTAGGCGAGAGCAAGAGGCGCTACTGAGCAACCAGATTCTGTTACTAATGATCAAACCTTTAAATTTACCGACTTTCACAGTGCACCACCTAGTGCATACACAAAGAAATGTATCCATTCCTTGCATCAACATTTACATCATACGGTGTGTGTCCTCGCAATCACAGCAAAGCCCTAAAAACGTTAACCTAATCAAATGTGTCAGTGTAGGTGGGGGTACAGTGTAACACTATTATAACACTATTGTAATGCTGTAGTAACATAAAGCACGCGAGACGCTAATAAAATTCATGAGTTGCCCAGGCCACACGTGCCATGAACTGTGACCCAATGATTGTTGCGCCTCTCTGAGAATAAATTATATTAACAAATTTGCTGCCAAGCGTTCAAGATGATTTAATACATTCGGTCATGATGAAGTAGCTCTTTTACTCAATAATTTCAACCAAAAAGGTGACAGCACTTTTTATTTTTTATTTTTGAATAAATGTTTATACAATTGATCTTGAGCATTTCTCTTTCATTTGTATAAACATGTATTAGGCTAATACATTTTAGATGATTGATTGTGATGAATGCATGGAATTCTGAGGAGCCAAATCGATGCAAAGTATTTAGCACAATTTACACCTGTTGTGACATATATTGCATTATTTTATGTCTGGTTATGACACCTACATAAGTGTCAAAACCCACATTTATTCAAATGTCTTCTTTCCCTGCCAATAAGTTTTCTTTCATTTGAAAGTTTGTTTCTTAAGTCCTTTGTTGTTGTTGTAATGAATCGATTATATGTTGTTTTTAATCCAATTTTAAATAATTTCTAGAAAATACACTTTATGACACTGTCATAAAGCATTTGACCCATCCTGGGTCACTTTACTTGGACTAAGAAAAGACAGTTTATGACACTATCAGGAAGCATTATGACCATCAATCAATCAAAAATATTTATAAAGCCCTTTTTACATCAGCATATGTCACAAAGTGCTATACAGAAACCCAGCCTAAAACCCCAAATAGCAAGCTATGCAGATGTAATCTTATAAATCAGATAGGCCTATCACGTACATGCCCTTATATCAGTCATCAGTCAAAAAGAGGGCGTCTTTTCTTGCTCCTGAAATCTGCTCCTGCATTCATCCCAGTCATCGGAAACAGAGCATTGGGGTAGTTGCATGTCTGATATCAATGTGTGCGTAATTACAATGATAATTTAAAATGGTCAATTTTAGAAAATGTTATATAACATAAACATACTGTTGACACGTAGGCTATGGTGTAATGGAATGTTTTGCCTTGTGTGGTAGGTTTTGTGGGTTTTGACACTCTTATGTGGGTGTCATAACCAGCCATAAAATAACGCAATATATGTCACAACAGGTCTAAATATATGTGTCATGACAGTGTTATGACCATATTATGACAGGTTATGACAAGTTATGTCAGGTGTTATGACATATTATGACATGGTTATGACTGTGTCATAACGTGTTGTAATGCTGGGTGTCAAGTAAATTGTTACCCCTGCATTCAGAATGACTGACTGGGTTGGGAAGACTAAGATATGAGACTACCTTAAACATCTAAACTGGAACAACCATTTCAGTAACGGGTGAAATTATTGGAATAGTTTAGAAAAATGTATGTTACTTATATTTGAGTAGCATACTGGGGTTATTTTACACCACGGAGTGTTCATTTTACATTTTATAGTGTTAATTTAACTCTTGAATCAACACTAGAAATGTTACACAAAAAAATCGACACTAGTAAAACACTGGCCAATTTACTGTGCACTATGAAAGGGACACATCTGAAGGCTTACATACATTGGTGGGCCAGTTAATCCACTGTTCCCCGGGCGCCGAAGACATGTATGTCGATTAAGGCAGCCCCCCGCACCTCTCTGATTCAGAGGGGTTGGGATTAATGCGGAAGACACATTTCAGTTGAACGCATTCAGTTGTACAACTGACTAGGTATTTCCCTTTCAATAACCTTTTAGAATTCTGATGAACCATAGATGCCACGTCAAGAACCCCTGACTTAACTCAAAGGTTCTTTATCGGGCAAGAGTTCTCCAAGGAACCTTAACTGAGGAAGAACCATTTAAGAAGCTTGATTTTTTTCAGTGTGTAATACTAGCCACCTAGCATGCAAATACTGACATACATTTAGATTATTATTTTCAAAACTCAAATGACAATAAATAGATACACAATTGACTAAAATTGATTTATTTATTGGGTTATGATACTATATACCAGTGTGGCAGTTGTACTAAACTCCTAAGCCATAAAAGTTATTAAAGAATCAAAGTGCATCATTAATTTAAATGACAATTGAACAGGAGGTATGCTAAGATAACCTATGCATAAAAATATACAAATTTTTTACATAGAATTAGGCATAATGATTAGGGCTCTAGATTGCAGGAAAAAGCTGTTTCAGCTGTTTGAAAAATGCTACATTCTCCAACCTCTGGACACCCCCATGTGTCAAAAAGTCTTACTGCTCTTTGACTAAATGCTGTGGAAAGAAAGTAAAAAATTAATCTGAGGTTTTGCCTGTGAGGCCATGATCTGCATTTAATGAAAACATGTGGTTAGACAAGACAAGTGAACAGCTACAAGAGGAACAGGATATTGGAGCAATGATCAATAAATGAGTGACTGTGTGTGAGCTAAACAGTGCAGAGTGAATGGAATGCCTGATATCTGGAGGTCTGTAAATAGCCTGAATAGCTTGAGTGCGTTATAATAATGGGATTCTTTGACGTTCATTGTGGTCAAAGCAGCTGGAAATCAATTGTGAATTATTATCAAATTGATATTGATTTGAAAATTTCATGAATTCAAATCTGGATTTATAGGCAAGGCTAAGTAATGGAATGTGAATTACAGGGACATTTTATGTCATTGGAACTGGTTTGGAATTGGAGCCAGATTCCAGATTTTTGTTTGTTGACCAAGTTGTTCTCTGAACGTGTGTGTGCATCCAGCAGAAAAACGATCCAGCCTCTTGAGTCAATAGTGTGATCTTAACCCGAGACAGGATTAACATTGCCGTTACTGAAGAGTCACGTGACAAATTTAAAAAGCTTTCTGTAAATCAATAAAATTGACCACCCAGGAAAATGTCTCCCCAGACAGACACAGCAGTTCTGAGAGCCAAGGCATCAGCACGTGTGTGTGTGTGTGTGTGTGTGTGTGTGTGCGCGAGTGTGTGTGTGTGTGTGTGCTTGTGCGCATGCGTGTGTGGGCAGACAGTTAGTATTAAAGGCAAGGGCAGGGCAGGAATGGAAGGTCTATAGTTCAACAACACAGCTCTTGTTTACAGAGGCTAAGTGGTAATAGCACTGTCTTTGGTTCTGCACTGGACGAATGGCTTTAGTTATCAAGAGGGTCAACACCATGTTCAAATAAAGTAGCACACCTCTAGTCCCAACCCCCACCCACACACACACACACACACACCTCATTCAGCATTTGCCTAAGCACACATGGCTCATACACCCAATATAGTATGATGAATTGTGAAGAGCTTGTGATACCAATGAGAACAACCATCCATTTGCCCACAATGATACTTGGACCTGACTGCAAAGTTATTACAATATAAAAAGTCCTGATGACAGCCAAGCCTTTGCTGCTTTTATTTAAGAAATTATGTTTGAAAAGGCACAAAGGTCTGATCTGAAAAATGAAAGCTCACGGGACTCAAGTATTAATTTGTTTTTTTCCCTTCTTCAATGGTTTTCAAGTCAGCCCTTGAGGGATCCATTTTCAGAGCATGTAGGTTTATTATATTGTTCAATGGCCTGGTATGCACATGGTTTGTAAATTCACAGATGAATAGAACTGCCATAATTATACGCATACTAAAACCATATGCACATTTTATAGCCTCCTAATGTAGCCAGCAAATATACTATCAAGCCTGTGGTAATGTGGTGAATTTAGTCAACACTATATGAGGCTCTTTTTGAACCAATTCACATTATGTCAGTAGCTGAATTAAGATAATAAAAAAGCCAATACGATATGTGTCCTGTATACAACTGTGTTCTGAGAGCGCTGTAGAGTGTTGGGGAAGCAGATCCTTTGCTGTTTCAAAGGCACATTGCTGATTGAGGGGTCAAACACAGCCTTTTCACCCAATCAGCCTAATGTCCTGTTAGTGGCTCAGGTTCAGTGGTGGTTAGTGCCGTTTAAGATGAGGGAGGACAATTTATTTTTTATGAGCATGGCATTACTTCTATTACAGCATATTGGATGACTGTTATTCATATTCCATTTACCCAGTTCAATGTAACAGTGATAGGTTTAGGCTACTACATGATACTCACATTTTCCCTATACCCATCATGAGGTTGCTACAACCTAGCCTATGAATGAAAGTTT